AGATATACCAGTACTTCAGGAAACATCTGGCCAGGTACTATTAAAGTAGGCAGCTATAAATCCTCCACATAGGGTAAGACAGAGGCTAAACTACACATGCGTATGAAAGTGCTTTATTGATAGATTTACTCCTGTCATTACTAAAATTTGGCTCCATCATTTTAAACTAAAACCATGATGCGTTGAGCAATATGAATTCTGTAATTCTCATTACGCTCCTTAAAATGTTACTGTGACTGCTGCAAGATGATTAATATTCGGCTTTAGAGTGAGTGGGTGGTTTTATATGGCACTGTGTCTCCTAGACTGGATAAGATCAGAGTGTGGCCTTTGCTAGGTAATGCTGTACCTAATTTATTTAATATTCTTTTGTCATGAGTAGCTTTGAGTGCTTCAACTATTACTACTAGATTTATGTACTGGTAACACATTCACAGCCATATACACAGTGGATTAATTAGACTATGACTACGAAGCTTATTCTATCTGTTTACTCAATGCACAGTAAATGAAATGCACATACAATAAAACTAAAAGGCAAATGAATAAGTAGATTAAACAAATTTTTACTCTAAAAAATAATGTTGACACCATTTTGCCATCTATTATGCCTACAAATTATTAATTCTAATACACCTTCTGGCAAAAGTATTAGAATCTTCCACCACGATACAATATATTGTACTGCAAGAGCAATAGCATCAGAACGAGACATATATCCCTCTTGGTTTACAGATATTGGCAGTCCAATCCCATGCCACTTGTCCAGCATCACAACCTCAGCTGATGGTGATCATTCTGTGTGGGACTGAAATTTATTTTCTCCCTCATCTAATGACATAAAATAACTTAAAAACATAACTTAAAAACAAACATTAGATTGTCATGTGTGCTTGAGAGGAGGTGGACATTCGTCCCATCTAACTCATTTGGCACTTCAGATCTCTTCCAGTTATTTCTTAAAACAAGCCAGGAATACTGGCTTTGACAGCATGGCTGGGTAGATTTTTCCACACTCCTAAAACCCTTTGGGTATAAAAGTTCTGTTTGCAGTTTTATGTATACTTCCATGTGATTTCCAGTTGTGTTGTCACTTCAGTTACAAGTAGATTAAGAGCCAGGGATTGTTCTTATCGGGGAAGGTGAGGGCATTTTGTCTTGTGCTCCTAAAACCTTCAGCTGAAATAGTGTACTCATGAGGGTTCCTAACACTGTGGCCAGAGTGAAGCATGTCACTTAAGGTTCTCCTTCATATCCAAATGGAGTAGCAAAAGAAATGAGTTTCACTCTCTCAGCTTGGCTCTCCACTATAGCTGCTGAGGGATGGGTGAACCTAATCTTGGGAGGCCAGTAAGTTTTAAAGTCTGCATTTCAGATCATAACCTACTGTATATCAGCTCATTGTTGGCTTAATGGGAACAATTTAACAGTTTCTGTCAGCTCTTCATGTGTTGGTGTTGTGAAGAGACCTATAAAGCTTGCAGACACACTGGCCCTCAAGCACCAGGCATGCCCAAGCCTGGTCATCTAACACACAGCGTGGATTCTAAAAAGGAACAAACAGCTGTGTGAAGCTGGACTGGTTTCTCAAAGGTAAGGAATATAGGGCAATATTAACATGAATATAAAAGAAACTGAAGCACATACAATAAAGTACATGACAGCAAATGTGACAGCAGGATATCAAGATGGTCTCACAGAGCCAGTGTGGCTGACCACAGATGAACTGACACCTGAAACTCACATTTTTTTTTATTATTGGTTAAAGACAAACTTC